ATGGCCCCTGATCTCCCTCCAGAGGACACATTTGAGTAGAGGGCTGCCCTCTGAAAAGCAGCCCACCTTGTGAGAATACTGAGCTCAGCAGGTAGCAGGATCTCACTGGCCTTGTCTGGGCTCAGAAACTGAGCTGGGTTGGGTCTACTTAGTCCTGGATGGGAGACCACCAGGAACTCTCAGGGAAGCGCAGAAAGAAATGCTGGGGCAAATCCTTCTGTGTGGCTGTCAAGAAAACAATCTGGACGCATCTCTGAAGCAGGCCATCTGCCAGGGTAGCAAGGGGGTCAGACTGATGAAAGGAGCATCACACGCACTCTCAAAGGGCCGGAGACGCTGGTGTGATCCTGTGATGCTGCTTCCATCATCCGGAGGGAAGCCCTGCTCTGGAGGCTTCAGCGGCTTGATCTGTGGGTAGCTTTGTCTTCTGGGAGTCCTCACAAAGGCTGGTTTGGACCCCCCCCTCCTGTTGGGTGACCGAGGAGAACAGCCTCTGGACTGTGGACAAGGCAGGGCTCCTGGGCATCATCCCTGGGGTCTGTGGTGGGGAAGGAGGAAGCCTGCCAGGGAGGAGGCCCCCCCGTTCCCGCCTGCCCTTTGAAGCGCACAGAAGAGCGTTGAATTATTGAATTGCTTTGGCACAGCCGCTCTTCTCTGGAAAGGACAGAGGGGGGCTGGACTGCAACACGCCCCCAGCAGTCCATAGCCCTGAAGGTGATGATACGCGAGATTAAAGCGAAATGGGGTAGGCAGCACAGGACCCTGAGAAGCCTTCAGGAAGTGTTTTGCAGACCAGGGGGCTGCCCTGAGAGGCGATCCAGGAATAGCGTTTCCCACCAATGGGGCCGCAACCGCAAAGGCTCTGCTTGCTGCATGATTGGAGCAGAGGTGTCTCTGGGGCAATGGCGCGATCCAAGCGCCTAAAAAACAGGTGAAGCTTCAACTGCACCCTCATGCCTGCCATCTTGACTTTTTTGACCATACTCTGTGGACACTCCTGGACAGGAGGCACTTCCCAACAGGAAGGCAACTCGAGGAGTGGGCACCACTGGGGAGAGAGGAGGGGCAGCTGTGCAGAGGAAAACATCTGGATGGACTGGGCCGGAGGCTGCTTCTGGCTGGGGGTCTGTTTGGCTGCTGTTCTGGGGAGAGAATATTCTCAGGGCTGCAAAATGATCTCCAGGATCCCCTGCCTGAAACCAGCTGAGCAGCAGCCAGGGATGTTTGTGGGCACCCACAGGGCCTCTGGCTGTTTGCTGTGGGCACAAGCATTTGGGCAAGAGGGCCCTTGGTTGCCCCCCTGGCTCCCCGCATGTTCTTGCACGGGTCACACTTTTGTCTCACTATCACTGTCCTCATTTTCGTATGAAAATGTCACCTGCGCCCTCTATGTTAATTCCTTGCTAAAAAAAGTCTTCTTTGTTTGGACCCATTTTGCTCTCCCTGCTGCCCTCCAGGTTGTTAGCCTGTGAGGTCTCCCATCCCCAGCCAATACGGCAGTCACTTTGGCTGGGAGTGATGGGATTTTATAGCCCAACATTATATCTGAAGGATTCCAGCTTGGCAAAGGAGGATTTAGTTTGTATTGACTGTAATTATGGCCTTTGGGAGAGGTCTGAATTTTGGCATATTGAGAGAAAAACATTCTCTTTCTCACCCCCCTGTTTGCTTTTTATAAGTCTCCATCATGCTTTCCTTCCTTCCTTCCTTCCTTCCTTCCTTCCTTCCTTCCTTCCTTCCTTCCTTCCTTCCTTCCTTCTTTTGTCTCTCTTCTTAGCTGAGAAATTTCCTCAGCCCTTGAGAAATTCATCAGTGTTTTATTGGTGCACCTTTGAAATCTTCATTGCACCTCTTGCTTAATGATTAATTTGGAAAGGCTGTCAGTCTTATCCTTGGAAAGAGCACTTTCAGGAGTCAACCTGCCAGCCTTTCTGTTCAGCAGATCTAATCTGGAGACCAATTTGCTGAAGCAGCAGCAGCCGCTGCGGGAGGCAAGACTGGGCTGGAGGGCAAGCGCTGTTCTGTGCCCCCTTCCGGAAACGTGTCTCAAGTCTGCCAAGGAGGGAAAGCAGAAAGTCAGCGGCCCTTCCTTCTCTCAGGGGAAGCTCCCCTTCCCTTAAGGGGTGGTGCAGGAGAACTTCCTATGGGGCTGTAGCTTGTAACCTACCCTTCCTTAACATCAGTCCACTCCCCCCTGCCACAAGATAAATTTCTAGCCAGTTTGGCTGAACTTTTCCTCCCGCTCCTCGTGGCATCCTCTGATGGCATGGACACAGCGCTCTTGCTTTCACTGGGCCCTCAGTGTCTCTCTACTGAGTTACGCTGCCTCTGAACGTGGTGGGCCCATTTCCCAGGGCTAGATCTTGTCTGGGGATCTCTGTCAATGGCCCCCCTCCTGCTCTTTGCCGGGGCTCCCCTGCTGGCCCTCCCCAGGCCTGGGAAGAAACTCCTTCTGAGATGGCCACCCACTGAAACACCAGCTCACTTACAGACAACACACGCAGTGGCGTATTGTGTTGTAGGATCCTTGCCATTTGGGGCTAATGCAACAAGTCCTGGTTAAAGAAACTTGGTTTTGCATGATTGACCAACCACGCTTCGGTCACTCCCAGCCTGGTGGTCCCCACATCTTCATTGGGTTGGTCAGGAAAAGACAAAGAAGACTTCACAACTTTATTCTGAAGTCTTGCATGCCTTTCCCTGGCCAGGAGGCTGTCTGAATCCAGGGAACGTCCTCTTAGCCAACTGGAGCAGGGGCCTAGTGATTAGATCTGAAGTCCAGAAAGGAGTAGAGGTTCATTGAGCCCATTTTCGTGAATGCTGAGCACAAGTGGCCTTCCCGAATCCTTACTCAATGTTTGGAGTGCAAAATTGGACAGAGAATTTTCCCGAGGATTCCCAGGGGAAGGACCTATTCGCCAATGGCTTCTCGAGGACAGGCTCTTCCCTTAGAGGTGGTAACTACTCAACTTCCCCCTCCCCCCCCCTGGGGAGGGTCCCTCTTGAGATCTTTTCTTGGGATTGAGCAGAAGAATGTGGGGCTGCCAAGTGTTAGAGAGAGAGAACTGAGCACCAGAAGGAAGGACATTCACTTCCTTAACCATTGCTGGGTTACCACACTCTAGTGCAGTGTTTCTCAACCTTGGCAACTTTAGGATGTGTGGACTTCAGCTCCCAGGCTGAGAAACCCTGCTCTAGTGACATCAGTCGTGAAGTGGACGCCTTGGAGGAAAAGTAGAGGACTAAAATCGGTTGTTTGAAAAAGGTTTCTTTAAGGACGGGCATCTTCTCCTCCAGGAACTCAGAGGAATTTTAAGGACCATTCCTTCCTTCCAACTCGGTTGGAAACTGATGAGTCTAACCCAACTTGTCAAAACAGTGGTGCCTTTTACCCTCTGAACGCCGGTCAATGACGTGAGAAACTTCACAGCCCCCTCTTTCCTGCCCAAGGTTTTATTACCTTTTCCATTTGTTTCTTGTAAAGATAAGGAACGGAATGAGGTTCATCGGAAGATTGCTGAGGGTGGAACGAGACAAGGGCCGAGCCAGGCACGCACGATCCAGCCCAGAGGCTTCTGAAGAGCAGTTTGGTGGAGCAGGGTGACCCAGTGGTGCTTCCGAGTTGCTACGCTATCTTTGGGCTCTTAGATAACTAGATGATTTCTTGGAAGGGGGGCTTCTCTCTATATTCTGCCTCTTAAGGTACTCTTGATTCTTGATTCTTACGAGGGCAGAGGAAGGAACAAACAGGGACTCGACTTTCAGGCCAGCCCAAAAGGCAGTTCAGAGGGACAGGAGCAAAACCAACATGGCTTGTATACTCCTGGATTAGGTGAAGATAACAAGAAGATACTTTGCACTCTTACATTCAGGGGTGTCCTCAGGGTATGGTCGAAAATGTCAGAATGGCAGCCGTGGCTGTGCAATTGAAGTTCTCACCATTTTTATGTGGATCACAGCCCACTTAAAATGGAAGGAGCTTCAGCTGCACCACTGTGGCCACCATCTTGATCTTGATGGTGACGTTCAACCCTGGAGGGGGAGCCAGTTAGGTCTAACGATCATTATGCTCCTAGCAATCAGGTGGCTGATTTCTTTTCTCTGATGGAGTAAGGCAGCAACAGAGGAGGGAAAGGCATCACCGTGATGGGGATCGGGGCCCAAGCTGCCTCACGTCGGATTCTTTCCTTGAGAAGAGACGGGAGTTCCTCGCACTTTGATGAGTCTGCCGCTCTTCCCTCCTGTGAGACAGCTATTTTCACATGAATGTTTCACAGAAAACAATAAATGAGGCCACAACGTAAAAAAAAATCGAGCAGGTCGTTCGTTTCTGGACCTTTTCAAACACGTCTTCCTGATTTCCCTGCTGTTCTAAGGGAAAGAAATGGATATCTGCAGGGGATTAAATGTCAAGAGGGCATCCGCGACTACATGATTGGAGTGCCACCCCTTTTTCATGTGCATTGTGCAAGTTGTGGCCAACATTTTGCCTTTCATGTCCCTCCCTCCACAAGCACTCCTGGAAAGCAGGAAGCTTTTTAATAACCTCCTCCACCCTGGTTCTTTCTAGGTGCTCCACAAAGTCCAAGTGAAGCCTCTCTTCTTCAAATTGTGGCATCTGGGCACCACCGTGGAAGTGCCCCGCACTGGCCGTGCCCGGGATGTTGTCTGACTTCCCCGTCTAGCCTACGCCCTGGTAGTCTCCCTTCCAGGTCCCGAGGAGGACAGCCCCTATCCTGGGGCTGGCCCAGGTGGCCTGGCGCTGCCCTCGACTGCAACCGCGGGCCCAGATGCGTTGCCCCCGCTACATCCCAGAGCCCGGCCAGTGGCTGAGAAGGCATTTGGGGAAGCTGGCAGATTACGGAGTCCGCCTTTGGGGGACCAGAGGTGCTAATTTCTGTAGGACGCTGGAAACCATTTCATGGTGCGACAATCCTGCAGGCACAAAGCCCAGGCGGTCAGAAAAAGAGCGAAGGCTGCAGATGACTTGACTGTTACAACTCATTGCGTTCTGTATCCTGCGCAGGCACCGAGGAAGCCGTACGATGACCAAAGTAGCGACGAGAGGCCTGGTTTTGCGGAAAGCCGTTCTGCGGCAGCCACCATGCTGACTTTGCCCGGCTCCTGTGGCTTGTTGGCTGGCTTGGAGGTCCCCACCGTTGAGAGGCTGGGCTGAAGGTGCCACTTCTCCTCCTCCTCCTCCCCATCTCTCGCTGGACGGCTTCCGTTGTTTGGCTCACCATGGGAGGATGTTTCTCCAAACCCAAACCAGGTGAGCTGTTTCTGCAAAGCTTTCTGGGTCCGTTGCCCCAGCGTCGCTTTTGCGCAGAGCTGTGATTAAACTAGGTCAGGCGTGCAGGAGGCCTTTCCGCTGAGAGAGTCAGTGGAGAATTTTAACGTGGCGGGATTACTAAAGTGATTGGCTAATCCCCTGGAAACTTCATTTCATGCAAGCGTAATTCTTGAATACAAGATTAAGAACCCTTCCTGGAAGGCCCTGGGGAGCGACCTTAAAAGCCGCGGACTCTTTCTGGAGACGCAGTCAGGAGATCAGATCTCTTGAGAAAGAGGGGCCAAAGCTGGGGGAAAATAAAGCCATTTTAGAAGTTGGCACCGGGGCGTCAATTAGGACTGCGTGTCAGTGCAGGGAAACCTTGGTGGTGGACCGAAGCAGGTGGCATTCTCCCAAACAGGTAGAACAAGATTAGGCAAAGGAATTTCTCTGCAGCTCTGTTGCACGTCGACTGAATCACGGGATCTGGGAGTTGTAAGAGTCCACTTAGGGTATTAAAGCCAGTCCCTGACTGATGGCTCTCCAGCCTCCATCTGAACCCATCCAGAGAAGGGGACCCCCCCCTATTACTGGTCCTCTGTTAGGATTCATTCAGTTGGAATCTGTCTTCCTCTAGTGCAGTGTTCCTCAACCTTGGCAGCTTGAAGATGTGTGGACTTCAACTCCCAGAATGCTGGCTGGGGAATT